ATGAATCTGTCGATTCTTTCAAACTTTTTAGAGATGGCGGCAACAAAGGTCATCTCCACCTCCTCAAGGTGGGTAATCCGGTGATACTCTACTTCCTCATAGTCCCAACTTGCACCCCAATCCATAGGTGTTGCTACCTCGCTTACTTGCCCCTTATCCTCAAGCATTAACCTGATCAACTGATCTAACTTCGCTTCAAGTGGGGCCATAAAGCATCACATCAAAGTTGGGGCTTCCTCTTCTCCCTTGGCTCTGCTAGCTCTCTCTGCCGTGCTAGGAGCCGAAGAGTTCAGTTTGTGTCCTCGTCAAGTGGTAGCCAAGGTGTCGGGTTACTCAGGGTCATGCACCACCTACACACAATCGGAAAACACACCAAGTCTAGCACAAGCAAAGTGCACACACTTGCAAAACTGGAAATTAAAAGCTAGATTAACAACCAAAATTTTTTTCAAGATAATAGACCGTTGTCTCCCCGGCAACGGTGCCAAAAACTTGACTCACACGAAACTACACCACAATATAATCCCGACTAGTGTCCAAGTTTTTAAACTCTAGCCTAGTGCAGTATAGAGCAAGTATTTAGATATCAACCAAGACCGGTTCGTCTACCCCAACTTTAGTTGTTTTAATCATTATCTAGCAACAAAGTTTTGGTTTAAAAGTTTGCTAATTATAATAAAATAGGGCAAAGGTAAATAGTTTTGAAAACTCTTTTGTGGAAGGATCACTCGAGTGTCACTTCCCCAAACTACTACCATGATATGTGAATTGGGACGATTGCTTTGGGCAAGGTAACCGCGAACCGCAGAGGGATGCATATATGGTAGGAGACAACAATCTCAATTTCTAAATCGAGCTAAACATTAAAGACCGTGTCACTCGACCCTCTCGATTTAGGCAATCGGTAGTTGACTTACTCCCTCACTCAACTCAAAGGTCGAATGGCTTAATCGCGATTAACTGATTTGCTTAATTCAACATTGAGGGTTGCCCTAAATTAACCTAGTTAGGTGGCTTAAAAAGCTGAAGGAAAACCAACTCGATTGAGTCTACCTTGGAAGGGGGATTTTCCTCTCTAAGCTAGGTTAAGGTGGCTAATTAGATTGCTAGCACCAACATGCGCAAACCTAGGGGTGCTAAGCACAATTATGCACAATCCTTAGGTTGCAAAGCACAAGCATGCACAATCAACATGAATAATACCTCAATCATTGAATTAACCAATACCCAATGACAATCATTCAATTCACATAAAGTAAACTACATGGTAGAGTTAGGGTTTCACAACACCCAAGTGAAAGGAGATCTACTCCATGCTAGAAAATGGAAAAACACAAAGAGAAGAGGAGGAAACCATCTTGGAGGATGTTCCCAATCTTCTTGGCCCTTGTGTTGAACTCTCATTGGAGGAGCTCTTCCCAAAATCCACCTTGAAGCAAAACCTAGCCTTCTTCTCCTTTGGTTCGTGTTTTTCTCTCTAGAAATCTGAAGAAGGCTTTTCACACAAAATGGGCTCTCCCTCTCTCCTCCTTTCAGCTCATCTTTTAAACTAGAGATGAGCTCAGTTCACGCCCTGAGTTCACGACCGTGAACTATGAAACGCGTCCGTAAACTGCAGGCGTGCGCCAAATCACACCACTTCGTTCACTTCTGTTCACGGTCAACAGCGTCCGTTCACGGTCTTAGTGAGCGTGAACTCACCTTGCGTCAGTAACCTCTGTTTTGGCTTTAGACGCCTCGCGATTCACAGTCAAGGCTCTTCTTCACGGTCATTCAAGAATGTGAACTTCCTGGGATAGCCGTAAACTGACCCTTTTTCACCTCTTCTCCCGGTTTTCGGTCCTTTTCGACCAACTTTCGACTCTGAGGCTGGTTTCACCTGTTAAACCCTGAAACACACTAAAACACGAGAGACCTAGCGTAAAACCAACCATTTAGGAGTGAATTTTCCGCAAACACCTAAGTAAAACGGGGGCAAAACATCTACAATTAGGCCCGAATCACTGAGTTTTAAGTCAGGAGCGAGTTTTAATCGATGTAGTGTTTTTCATTTCTGTTTTTCATTTTGGTTGAGAATGGAACCTAAAGCCATGGATATCCAACTAGCCCGGCCAATGCAAATTGAAACTCCCCAAACCTACATTTAGTCTAAAAAATTCATAAAAAAGAGAACCATGATAAACTTAAACTAAAAAAAAAGGCAAAGGAGAAACTATGTTTTACCCGAATTTTAGGAGTGCTTTTATTATTTCAAAATGTGAAGATCCAATTTGGAGCTTATGCGAAAAATTGTTTTGAAAACACAAAATTTTTATTATCATATTTTATTATTTTTCTAGAGAACTTTATTTTCTTCCATTCATATCATTTTAAAAAAGAATAAAGTAGAAAAAATATTATTTGATATGAAAAAAATCTAACAAGATTCATTTTGACTATATTATAATTTTTGAAATTTTTATTCATATTATATATTATAATTTATTTTTTTTAATTTACAAGAACTCTTATATTAGGAAGTAATTCTAATAGTTTTTCAGTCAAACACTCAACTGTTTTTTTTAAGTACTTTTCAAAATGATCCAATCAAAACTACTTCTACAAAATATTCAGAAGGACCAACTAGCCTTACAAACTGAAACAATAGGTGTCATGAGAGAAATTTAAACATAAATTATATGCTCGACGACCTTTCTGCCTTATGTAAATTCATCGCGTGGTTGACCACATGTGTTGTAACTAACAAACTAATGGTAAAAAATACTAAGAATGAACTTAGATCACTTTTAATTTTGGATCAACATTAAAACTATTACTCTTTAGAATATATATATTTTCATATGTATACGCGAAGCGGTAGCCAATGTGATTTGCATAATGCATAGTCAGCTATCACTAGAGAAGAGTTGTGAATCGAAGGGCGATTGACGTTAGGCAGGTTTGTTAAGTTTCTAAGAATGACAAGCTTGTCTGTTCCTAATGAAAATTGAATTCATGAATTAGAAGAAATCTTTCCCATTCCTTAGCCTACAATCTGTGGCCATGAAATAGGGCAAAGATGAAGCTTCCACTTCCTGACCGTCCAAAATTAGGTGTCCACCAATTTCTCACCTTAATGAAAACTAAAAGAGGAAGCTAGATCTACGTTGCAGATTATTAAAGGGGAAGAAGGATTAATTATGAATGCCGATTTTGCTTAACAAACACGCTGGCCGTCCTTCACCATCTTTCTTCCAAGGGCCAAGTCCAAACTAGCAAAAGAAGAGAAATATAGGAAACTAAAGTTATTAGCTAGTCTTCCCATTGTATAGATATTGCTAAATCGTTTGAAATTCTTTGAGTTAAATGCAACAATTGCTCAATTAATATCCATCATATATTGAGGTAGAGGTTGGGGTGCTAACAACACATTGGGTGTTAGCATGGTACTAATATTTGTAAATTTTAAAAAGTTAAAGGTATTAAAATATAAGACATAAAATTTTTAGGTACTAAATGTTTTTTTTTTTTTGAAATATACGTAGGAACTATATGGAAAAAATAGGTACTTGATCTTAAATATTATGTTTTTTATCCAACTTTAATTTGCATACAAAACTCAAATCCAATAGGAGTATGAGATGTAAGGGAATGAGTTGTTATAAGTGGTAGTTAATATAATACCCTTATAGTTAGTGTTAGTAGAGTGCAAACATTTAGGGGTTCGCACCCTATCTAGCTCCGTATATTCGTTAGCGGATCGACAAATTTATGGAAGAGTATCATCTCATAAAATTATAATTAAAAATAATTAAAATAATATTTGATTTCAAAGAGAAAATATTCAACTAATACAAGTTACAACAAAATGATAACATTATCAAAGTGTCTGTTGTATAATAAATGAGTCACGAAAGGAATCAAAGTCATTAATGTTCCGATAAAATATTGGATAAATTAGTATTTAATATTTTAATTAGGCATTGATTTAATGTACAAATTTCTTTCACAGTTATGCAGGAGTGCAAGTTAACAATTGGAAGGCTTCATCTGTTAAATGAACGAAGGTGAAGACTTAAAGCATACACAACCACAGGTAGGTTTAATCTAATTTTAATCATAGTGCTACAGTTTCTTTCCACATATCCTTAAATTTGTATAGTTTGTTGACACCTTCCATATCCTTAATTTAGGTGAAACGGATCCAAATTTGGTGAGATTAGGGATTCAAAGTAAGAGATTATGAGGTATTTTGACACCCCCCATTGGCAAAGGAAAAATCAACCCACCATTATTATGGAAGAAACCCAGGTGGGTGGCTGTGGTCCCTCCCATGTTAAGCAATAATAAAATTAACTGTTGCTAATAAAATATACAAATAATAATAAGATTAGCTCTCTCTGTTTCTGCCATTAAGCAAGCACTAACTAATTAAGACAAATGTCACTGTTACATAGATGTAATTAAGATTGTAACAGAAAAAGAGAAGAAGAAGATTAATTGAGGGTGGGGGTGGTCTTTTGAGATGGAAGCAGGAAGGAAGGATGGAAGAAGCAGATGGAATCATCAGAAGCTGAAGCAGAGTAAGCAAGAAAGATGGATGGATGGGTGGAGTTGGGTTGTCAATTATGTTTTGTTGATGGTAGCTGACTAATCAACCACCTTTAAGCTATCTAGCTAGCAAGCTCACATGCCCATTTCCATGCCATCCTTATGTTGACATATTATATATGCATAAAACACACTTGCTTTTCATCTCTTTCTTTCTTTCTTTCTTTAAAATGGAGGGTTGATCTCACTTTCATGGCTTCAATTTTAGATCTCTTTTATGGTTTCTTCTAATGTCCCATGGTGGCAATAAGATTTTAGCAAGTGGGGTTTGCCCCTTGCATTATGCTTCTCGTTTGTGTGATCCAAGTAAGAGAGTAAATAAAGTCACCTCCTTAGACATTTCAATTACAGTATTGGAGCTTTTGCAACAATGAGAGAAAGATAAACAAAACAAAACAAAACAGAGGAGAAAGTGAAGTTCAACTTCATTTTGTATCTACTTTCCTATGACCAAAAATTGTGCCTGTGGGAGCAAAATGAAACAAAAATAACAGAGATATAACCAAGAAAGTAGAAGGAAAAGAGTGCTATCTATATATATATGACTTATAAGTAGGAGAGGAGCAAGTAGATATTAATTACCATTTTGTTGTATAAGTAACTTCAAAAATAACCCTGTAACTGTAAAAAGAATGAATGAATCTGTACACTCTTGCTCTGTCCATGATGATGATGATGATCCAAATTCTGTTTTCATATGTTAGAGATCAAACCCACAAGTGGCTGCTGCTCATGCTTGTGACTACTCCCACCACTCCACCACGGATTGAACCCCACCGCGTTGTTGACATTGTTGTTCTGGGTCTCCTCTTCCACTGGAGCAGGAAGATTGAGATCCAAGAAATCCTTCATCGCGGGGACCTTCCCAGCAGCAGCTGCGGGCATTGGAACATTATTGGCTGCTTTACCCTCACTACTACCAACCAAGTGAGACCTCTTATGGCCACCAAGTGCCTGTCCTGATGAAAACACTTTGAGACAAATGGGGCACTCGTGTGTCCTGCTGCTTCCATTGTTGTTGTTGTTGTTGCTACTTCCCTTCTTCCCTCCTGAACCACTTGCCACATTCGGAGTAGAACTGGGTGAGTTTCTGGTGGCAAGGACATTTGTTGGTTCTGGTGCTGCCAATGCCATGGCTGGCGGAGAAGCGACAACCAGTAGCTGTTGATGAGGCGGTTTGTTGATGGTGGGAGATTGATCAGTAGCAGTCAACAGTTGCTGATCAGTGGTGTTGGGTGTTTCATCGGTGATGGTGGTTTCAGCTTTGGAAGCAAAACAGCCTTTGATCTTCTTGTGGCTTGCTCTGTGCCCTCCCAGTGCTTGGTAGGAATGGAAGGCCTTATTGCAAGTATGGCACTCAAATTTGCTGTCAATAACAACTTGTGAATCCAAACCAGCATCTTCCTTGAGCAATTCTTGCTGCTGCTGCCTCTTCTTCCCCTTCCCGCCACTAGCTGTTGTTTCTTCACACAATTCTGATCCCATCGCCACAATACCTTTGGGGGTTGTTGATTCATTGACATTGCAGAGGGAGCTGAACTTGTGTGCAGATTCCGACAAGAGCGAATTGTTGTCAGAAGATTCGGCGGCGGCAGCAGCAGGAGGAGAAGAAGAAGAAGAGGAAGGCCCGTTATGGCGAACATCTCTGGAAAGCAACATGAGGCATAAAGCAACCTCTTCTTGCTCTTGCTCCACCCCTGAAACGGCTGAAAATGAAGAAGAATTAGCAGCAGCGATCCCCAATTGCCTGGTCGATCTCTTCTTTCTGTTGGGCGTGGTCTCGTTGTCAGACTGGATATCCATGACCAGCTTCTGCTTCGCCCTCATCGTGTTGTCCCAAGAAGCCGAATCCGAATCCGCTTCATCAATATCATCCTCCTCCTTCACCTCTTGGTGGCGGTGGTGATGGAGCTTGATGTGGTCAAACAAGGACATCCATGACTGGAAATTTTTACCACAATCTCTGCACGGCTTGTCATGGTGCGCTTCGGAACCTCTCCTCTTGCGGTGGTTTTCGGGGTAGGACCCTGCATTCGTCGTGATTCCATGATTGGCGTTGGCAGTAGGAAGGGAAGGAAGCTTCTTCCTGGTGACGAGAGTGCCGTCGGTTTGAGCGGAGACATCGTTGATCATATGGGACCTCATGTGACCACCCAACGATCTCCCACAAAGGAAGCTCTTGCTGCAGAATTTGCACACATGTTTCAGCTGCTCCATGGATTCGAATTTTGATGAAAATCCAGTTCCTTACAGCAGCAGAAAATAGTAAGGTAATGGAACAGAGGAACCCCACTCACGTCCTCCACCTGAATCTGTACTTGTTCTTTTTATGTTTTTTTCAGGTGATCGGGTAAGTACCCATACTGCACAGAAATTTGGAGAGGCAGGAGGAGCAGAAACAAAACATCTATGCAGCACAATTCACGGAGAGAGAGAGAGAGAGAGAGAGGAGTGAGTTGGAAGTGAGGAGCATATGTTTATTGCACAAGCAGCAAAGCTAAAGCTAGTAGCTTTGTGGGGCAGTTGAAAATCTGAAGAGAAGCAAAAGAAAGAATATCAAAGTATAGAAAAAGGAAAGAAAAGAAGAGAGAGAGACTGGGAGTGTTTGTGGTGTGGGTGATTGATTATGGTGTTGAGATGGTCACATTTGGAAGCTAAAATGTCAATAGAGTTTAGTTTATTAATTAGATGACTGATCTGTCCGTCCTAATTATTTAATTAATTCATATGCTCCATTGCGTTGGTTTGTTCCTTTCGCTCTGTATCACAAGAAAACAGCACAGGTAGAGCGAGCAATTGATGTTACAACTCTCTTTGGGTTGGGTCTACTCTTTGGGAGAAGAAACCCATGCACGGAAACAAGCAACCAGCCAATAACATTTCTTTCAGCCACAACTAACAAGTAATAAGTGTGACTTTGCTCAATCGGATCCGGAAATTCTTCATATTTCGGAATTGGGAACTCAATCGGTCGCATACATTTACTATATTTAACTTTGTTATAGCTAAGGGAGTGGAGTCCGCTTATTTTTTTAGACATTTGTTTCTTCTCCTTCTACTGGTAAAGATAATAATAAAAAAAATCTAATAGAATTAAGAGAAAACGAAATAAGGTAGGTGGAATTTTGCTACTTACCTATTTTTCATCTAATACTTCTTTTTGTTCTTTTTCGTGATTTTGAATCTAAAAGAAGTTACGTTTTGGGATTTTTTCTTAAAATATCTTGCGTAGAATAATTTTTCGAATTTAATAAAAACGAATATCTTTATTTTTTTACACTTTTTTAAATAAATATTGATAATCTTTAAACACGTAGTTACCGCATTCATACCATCCATGCAGTCAAAATTGTGATTCTATCTAGAAGCCAAAAATGGATGAAATCGTAAAGCGTAAGTTTTTTACGCATACTGTAAAATAGCGTAAAAATGTGTTAAGTACGACATATGCTATGTAAATATGAGCGCACAGAATTTAGATAAGTTAATAAATACCTGCAATTCATGTATAAAGTAGATCAACTCATAACATCTTAACAAAAAGTTTATAAACATAGATCTTAACAATAAGCCACCTTCCCCTCTTTGCTAATGAATTTGGAAGTGCCTAGTTGGTGAATTAGATTACTCTATTAAAGCTGAGAATGCATCCAAATACCTAGTAGTATCTTTTAATCTCAAATGTATCATATTGTTGGTGATTTACCTTTAAAATATACTTTTTATAATTAATTTCATGAATAGAATACCCATTAAGTAAACAAGAAGCATAAAAGTGTAAAGCGTTTTGGTGAACTAGAAGTTTTAAAACGCAATTTAGTCCGATTTTATATACGAAAAATTTTATATAGGAAGAAAAGCGTTTCGGTGACCTATGTAAGCGTAAAACCGTAAACTTTTAAGTTTTAAAATACGATTTTGACTTGGTTTATTCATTGGATAGAATATGGGTGATTATTTACTGCTATACGTCACGAGATTACTGGTGTAAAGGGATGAAGCATGGTTGTTGCGGATATAACTAGAAAGTGCTCATCAGCAGAGGAAAACAAACAAACGTAGGATACAATGCAAAAAAGAGGAGCGGGAAAACTATTGGAATAAGCCAAGCCAGCCTGCCTGCCTCTCTACACACTCCAAAAAACTATTCTCTAGCTACTTTGTCCTGCATGCATGCTCTTAAGTCTTAACTAATAATAATAATAAATAAATAAATAAATAGGCAGCCAGCAAACAAGAAAGCAAGCAAGCAAGCTGATAATAGAGCAAAGCAGAGCATACAACAGCAGCAGCAACAACAAGGTGAAGTTACGTTTGCAGCCAGCTAACCCAACAAAATAGAACACTAGGGTGGGTGGGTACTACTTCTACTTCTCCCACAGATTTGTATTTACTTGGTTTTGCTTCAGTGAAAACAACAACACCAACAACAACAAAAAGAAGAAGAAGAAGAAGAAGAAAATGGCCTGCCTTGCCTGCTGGATCCATTCCAGTCCAAACCATGGCCGGTCGGCCCTCATTCATTCCTTTTTTCGTTTGCTTGCTTGTTGCTTCCGTCCATCGGCTTCTATTTCGTTTCGTGCCTTTCCTGCTTCCCCCACCCATTTCTTGCCCCTTTTTCCCTTTGCTTACTCTCTACTATAAAGCCTTCCTCAAGCAACCCCTTTTTCCCTTTTTCTATATCATTTCTCTATGCTCTTAAATCAATAGTGTCATGGTACATTTTCATCATATTTCAATTAATAATAGCGGTCATTCAATTAAATACATAATAATAATAACAATACAGTATATTTAGTTGTTCGGGATGTTCATTGTTAGAACTAGAACAACTTGTACGACAGTACTAGAGAAAGAAAATATCATGGAATATGAAGAGGAATAATTAATCATGCTAAAGGAGAAATTTATTTGACGGTAACGAATTGTCATAATGGAAATGTAGTCCGTCCCATCTAAGATAAATTTAATTAGAAAAAAAAATAACTAACAATTATGAATCCCAGTCTCCAATTCACTAACCCAAAGCATGAGATTCATTTAATCTTGAAATGAAAATCAATGATTCTGATTCGTAGAAATTATCGTTGATTTTCATTTTAAAATTAAACGAATCTCGTGATTTGTGTTAGAAAATTAGGGACTGGGGTTCACCGATTAGGATATAGTATCATGCCCAAAATATCGGTTAATCCATTATCTAAATAGCAAAACTCAACGAGCGTACGGTAGCATAACGTACGTCGGTGTACAGAAGCCTGCACCATATATAGAGTAATATATATATATATATATACTTTCCGATTACGCATGATGGATGGAAAATACTAATATCCGATTACGCATTTGTGCTTTCCTCTTTGGAAGCACCAGCCGTGACGGGAATTCTTTGGATCTAAAACTGTGAAATGGATTAAAAGGTTGGCTATTTTATTGAAATTCAAATAGTTTTGACTATTTTTATCCAAAACTTAAAAGGTATGGCGATTTTGGGGGATTAACCCAAAATAATTTGACCTACAAAAATCGTAAAACCCACCCACCATTAGAGATGACAAAAATATCCGTAACCGTGGATATCCGCCCGAATCCGATCTAGTCGGGTAGGGTAAAACCCGAACTCGAAAGACTTTTAGTGGGTATGAGTAAAACCCGAACCTGAATATTGTGGGTAATGGGTGGGCATGGTTTTCTCACTATCCAACCCGAACCCGCCCGATTATACACATGCATGTGTTTCTTGTCTAGAGATAATCATTATTTTGCTCTAACATGTTTTGTATTAAGCATATAAATAAAGTATTTTCATGAAATTGTGTTGTTTTATTCAACGAAAAAAAAAAGAAATTGTGTTGTTTTAATTAATTTTCTTCAGTCTAATGAATTATTGTCGTTTTTTCCTCTTATGTAATATGAGAATACGTGTGAATGTTAACATATTAGTTGAAGTTATAATGAGAAATTATTGCCCATAGATAACCATGGATACCCGAAACCCGAACGAGTATGGGCATGGTTTTGATTTTCTACCCATTTCTTATATGGGTATGGGTATGGGTAATACCCGAACTAATATGGGTAGGGTAACGGATATGCACTATCCGCCCCCGACCCGACCCATTGCCATTCCTACCCACCATCCGCTGTCACGCACCCACCCAAGCCACCTAGAAGGATACAAATATGTAGGTGTAAGACATTTTTCATCACTGCCATAACAATTGGTGGATGGATTTTGACCAAAAACTCAGCCCAAACCACTCATTGTTCAAAAACCACTCATAGCAGAAAACCTATAAAATAGTTAAACGGATTGACCTCTACTCATTAGGTTAAACTATTGTTAACGCTTTCCACATTTTTGTGTGAAATTAGAGTTGGAAAGTAACATCCGGCAGTTAAAGTGATGTTAGTTTACTAAAGTCAACTGTTAACTATCTAATAGGTAAATAATAGTCTACCAGGTCGGCTTTTAAAAGTGTTTTTCGGTTTCAACATGATTAAACATCACTAAAATCTAGACTTTTAAAAATTCGAAAAGTACTTTAGTATAACATGAAAGCATAAACTCTAATTTAGGGCTTGTGCGAAAATTTGTTTTGAAATTATAATATTATCCTTGCCATACTTTAAAAAGCATTGTTTAGAATTTTGGCTACCTTCATTGTTTAGAATTTTTATTCATATTTTATATTATATATATTTTATAGTTATTTTACATAACCTCTTATATTAAAAAGCATTTCTAATAGTTTTTAGTTAAACCATCAACCGCTTTTTTTGAAAAGTATTACTCTAAAAGCTCTAGCCATAAACTGTTTCTGCAAAAGTTACAGCAGTGCCAAACTAGCCCTAAATATGGCTAGCCAAGTAAAAGCAAATGAAGTAGGATGGGCAATATCCTATATATTAGAATAATTAAGACAAAGTCCAGCAAAAATAGTAGCGGTGGAGCCGCCGTCGGCAGGGTTCTTTTGTGTGAGGGATTGATTGGGTTATCGAAAAAGCCAATTTCCTTTATTTCGGTTATTGTTAGGGTGAATTGCAAACTTAGTCACACTATTACTCATTTATAACACTTTAGCCACCCGAATAAAAAAAACATTCAACTTAGCCACACGATACTACACGTTTTTGTCATATTTGGTCACCCGTCATCTAGTTCTGTTAAGTTTGACCTAAGTGGAAGTCAACTCCAATGTTTGACCGTTAAAAAGCTAATGTGTCAATTAAAATAATTATTTTTTATTTCCACATCATACTAAATTCTAATAAATATTCATATTCATAAAAAACTAGTTAATATAAATATTAATAAAACGAGCCCACCGACATCGCCCTCCCCTCTCCGCCATTGCACTTCGTCGCCCTCCCTCTCGCTGCCTCCATGCCAGCTAAAACCCACGAACCCAAGCATCCGCCACAAAACCCACCAATCCTCTTTCCACTGCAAAATCCCCACCACCGTTGCTCCAAGCATCCCGTCACAAAATCACAATCCTCCCAATCGTCCGGGTCCGAGCACAATTACATTGACAAGGAGGAGCTTCTCTGGCTCCACGAAGAGCAGCAGTGGCTGCGCAAGGAGCAGCTGTGGCTCGAGGAAGAACAGAGGTGGCTTCGCGAGGGGAGCCCTATTGAGCGAAATTCAGTCGCTGAAGTTCCAAATCCCGGTGTAAGAGAAGAGGATATATGTTGCTGGGGTCGATGCGGTGCTTGCGAATATTGATGCGCTCACTTCTTTTCTTAATCGAATCACTGAAAACTCTCAGATCTAGAAACTAACCGTCGGAATTTGGTGATTTTTTTGGTTCTTCAGGTTCCGGAACTCAACGGGAACGCCGACGGAGACAATTGGGGAATTGGGGAACTAGGGAGCCGGGACAGAGGAGGGGAATTGTTAAATTTTTATCATAAATAATATTTTGTAACTGAAAATTATGAGATATAAAAAAATAAAATTTAAAATTTATCAATTAATTATTTTTTAATGGTCACGTTAGCTTTTTAACGGTCAAACATTGGAGTTGACTGCCATGTAGGATAGACTTAACAAAAGTAGCCTGTGTGTGATCAAATATGACATAATTGTGAAGTATCGGTGGCTAAGTTTAATGATTTTTTATTCGGGTAGCTAAAGTGTTATAATTGAGTAATATGGGTGACCAAGTTTGCAATTCACCCATTATTGATAGTATTAATTTATGGATGTGGAATAACGAGATATGTGGTATTGGTATTTTGATTTAAAAATAAATCAACGTACAAATTTAATTTGTACATTAAGATTATTGTACGAATTCAACTTATATTTAATTCTATTTCTAAATTATTTTATTCTGTAAATTTAATTTGTAGATTTACGTTATAGTACACAATGAACGTATATCTCTAATTATGATATAAACTAGTAGTATAAGTTTAATTAGTATCTCAAATTACCAATACTTTAGTTAATAGTAGAAGAGTTCATGGAATTTCATTATAGTAGTAGCTGCAACATGGATGTCTCATGCATTAGAAGAAAGTTGATTAACATTTATAATAAGTTCCTGGCAAATTAGTTAGAGTGTATCAATTTAAACACTCCTTATTTAGTCTAATGTTTCCTCATTTTGTCTAATTAGTGAATTTGTAGTTTGTTTTAGAAAAATGTAGATCAGAAGGATAGTCAGCAGATGGCGGGTATTTTAGGAGTATGTGTTGTTGTCGTTCAAGATAAAAATCATTGATTGCCTACATTAATACACTGATAAAAAACAAAGACATTTCAGTATCTTGAAGAGAAACTCCTATCCAAACTTACGGGATGGAAGCAACGACATATATCATGGGCAAGGAAGGAGGTCCTGTTAAAATCAGTGGTTGTCGCATTACCAATACATGTGATGTCGTATTTTCTATTTCCTATCACTCTTTGCAAGAAACTCGATAAGTATATGGCAAGGTTCTAGTGGGATTTTACTTCAGAAGGGAATAAAGCACATTGGGTGTCTTGGAGAAACTTATGTCGTAGTAAGTTTGATGAGGTCTTGGCTTCAGGCGCTTTGAGGATTTTAATCAAGCTTTGTAAGCTAAGGTGGACTGGTGTATCTTGAATGAGCCATATTCCTTACTAGCAAAGGTTTTGCAGGGGAAGTATTTTTCTGGTGGGAGTGTGTTGATTGCGAAATTGGGTTCCCAGCCTTCATGGGGATGGCACAGTATAGTACAAGGGTGGGGTTTAATGCGAAGAGAATTAAGATGGCAAGTGGTAACAGGTGATTGCATTTGGGTGTTGGGAGATTCTTGGGACCCGTGGTTGGTCGGAAATCTTTTACCTGTTCTGCCGAGTGCCCCATTGTTGGAAAAGTCAAAGGTGTGTGATTTGATTCGACCACGAAAGGGTGTTTGGTGTGAGGAATGTTTGGATGTTTGCTTTCTCGTAGAGATCATACGGATGATCTTGAAAATTCCACTGCCTAGATTGTCGATCCCTGATAGATTAGTATGGAAGAAGGAGGCTGATGGTGAATCTCTGTAAAGTCGAGGTATCACTTGGCTGTTCAGGTACGACGTTGGGAGATGGAAAACAGAAGTCTCTTTTTGGGACATGAGCTTTTGGAAAAAGATGTGGAGCTTTCCAATTCCGTCGAAGCTGAGGTTTTTTCTATGACAATTTATGCGATGTATTCTTCCTACCATGGAAGCTCTACGAGAAAAGAGTGGGGGTGCTTCGGTTATGTGTCAAGTCTTTGAAGGACCATTAGAATCTTTAGAACACTTATTTCTTACTTGTAGAGTGGCGGAGGAGTTATGGGTGATATGGAAATCAAGAAATTGAATGGTGTTTGATCATATTTAGTATACTACAGATGCACTTGTTTGTCAGTACCATGATCAAGTAAGGGAGCGGTTAGCGGTGCCAGCTCCCAGTATTGGCCGACAGCCTAATGGTGGAGGGCGGGTGGCGGCGATTACACCTTGCCGTCAACTGAGGTTCGCATTCTTCTGGTGGGATGGTAGTACCAAATAGACTAATATGACGGTGTGTTGTTTAGTAAGAGAACCTTGAATGATGTATTATTACGATGGCACGATGAAGGAAATGATGATCAACTAAATAGACTAATATGATGGTATGTTATTTAGTTTACATGTCATTTTACTTAACAGGATAGTCATTTTTGTTAGGTGTTTTTTTTTATGATCTTTGTTATGTTTAGTTTACATGGAAATAGGCTTGTCAGAGCTAGAATGAAGAAGGTCGATAATGAATGCTTGACTAGTTAATCTGCCTTTTAGAACTGCTAGAACATGGTACAATGCTTCTTTCTTTCTCCATTTGTTTCATGTTTTGATTCGCTTACTTCAGAAATGATTTGGCGTAGTTTGTTCCATTGAATGAATGGCTAGCTAGGGATATGAGATATTTGGGTATATACATAGCTTTGTGGTATCCTAACAAAACTCTTTTGATATGCAATCATGATCAATACTCTTTATGAACATCTGACGGACCGAGTTCCCAATAGTAATCCCATCTATGAACATTTATCTGAGCTCGCTTCAGTAATTTGCAGCGAATAGATACTTTAATTGGATTCTGAATACACACTTTTGTCAAGTTCTTTGTAAGATGTATTTGTTCTTGCAGATACTTCTCAAGGGTCATAAGAATGCTCGTAAAACACTTTAGTTTAGTAGGGAACATACTTGCAATGGTCTTTCATAAATTATCCTTCAAAATGGGACAGATGGAGGCAATGTGTATACAGGAATATCATGTTACTCTGCAAGATTTTTATTTAAGGATGATGATCGAGATTATTACATTTTTTGTGTTGCCTTCAATTTTCGTGAAAATTGTGTTGTTTATCATAATTTCCACATATTGTGACAAAGCCTAAAATGACACGTCGTTAAATTAATAAAAAAAATCTTATTATAATTAATTATAGAAAAAAAAAACAGACATGCAAAAGTTTCCTTCCGTCTCTCATTTGATCTCCTTCATGTTCCCCATCTGTCCACCATCTCCATCAAAATCGCACAAAATTATTTCTCAAGAAACTAGAAGCAACCACAATCGCGGATCTTGAAATGGTGAAGAGAATCCAAAACCCTCTCCCTCCAAGGCACTTATTCCTCTTCCGAGACTCTCTCCGAGGCAGCATCCATTCTATCGTCTTCCTCTTCCAAATGGTGAGACCAGATCTGGTCGCACCTTCTTCGCCACAACTTCCCATTATTCTTCGCCGAGACAGAGGGCAGGGGAGGGGATTCTTTGCCCTGACTATGGCTTTCAAAGGTGGACGAGATAAGGGGAGGCACACACCAAAGTTTAAGTCACGGCAAAACCGTCGTCAGTGATAGCGAGATCCGTCACCCATAGCCGAATCTAATCTTCTCTGTGTCGAAACTAATGAGAATTGCTCCAAGGAATCCACGCCGACCACCATCACCTGCACGAACCCCACCTATCCGCCTTTAGCAGGAGAGCAACAACAATCTCAGTCCAACCATGGGCGGATTCATTGGGAGTTTGTTGAATGGCTTCAATCCTTCGCATTCAGCAGCTCGTTTGGCCGAAAATGAGGGGTCGGGACTGCAAAGAATTAAATTACCACAACTACTGAGTTCTTATACGCCCATGTGTTCGAAACTGGTGGGAGATAGCATCAAGTGCTAGGGCTAGAAGTATGGGGAGTGAGGAGAAGAAGTCTGCTGCGAAGAAGAGGTTGAAGGCGGTCGAGTTTGTGGTGGATTCTGATGATGATGAGTCAATTGGGAGTTTAATTGGGAGTTTGTTGAAGACCCACGAAGCAATGGGCCGCACCAACCGCGTGGACCACCCAGGCCTGCCCCCCGCCGTCGGATCCGAGGGTGGAGTAGAGCCCTATGTGGCCTTGAGGACCAAGGAGTAGATGTTGAACGTGTAGGACACTCCGGCGATGCATTGGATCCATATCCCGACCACCGTCACCGCCCATTTCGTTCTCAGGATCTCCATTTTCGATCCCCAATTTTCAGTTTCGCTTGCAGAAGGGTAAACCAGTTTCCGGCAGGAGATAAGGGGAATGTGAGATGGGGAAGGAAAAAAACCATTAATTAATTTTAATTTTTTATTTCATTAATTAATTTATGATGTGTAATAATTAATTAAAATAAAATAATGATGTGTCACTTTTAGCTTATTTGGCGCTGACGTGTCTGCTGAGTTGGCATCTAATCAGCAAACCGTCAAATAAGTTGACGGTGTTAATAACACCGTTAAAGTATCTAACGGAAATGGCTAGATTTGTCCAACATAACTTAAAAGCTGGCTATAAGTGGTATTTCTACAAATTTGGCTATTATTGACACAAACGCGAAAGTTTTAGTTATACAAGTGGATTTTACAAAAAAAAAAAAACGACAAACATTACAAAATAACAAAGCGTACAAACATTGCAAAATAAACCGACAAACAGTATAAAGCATACTAACCGTACAAAATATCACTAAAAATGACAAACAATACAAATCGAATCTATACAAACATTGCAAAATGGGTCAGCAAACATCACAAATCCAATATTGTCGTGGGGAAATTTCCTCCGGGTGCCGAAACTCTCTCTCTCTCTCCCTCCCCCTCTCTCCCTCCCTCCCTCCCTCCCTCCCAATAATTCCCATCCCTTGCCAAATAATTCCCATCAACTCACAGGGAACTAAAGTGGTTTGGGGAAACGTCCCAGTGGTTTGGGAAACAAAACGTCCCGGGAAATTAAAGCGCCGAGGAAGAATAATCTCCCAGGCAAAGCTCCGGTTGCAACGACAATGCCGGTGAAAAGCGACGGGGGAGTTTCCTGAAAAGCGTCGGGGTAGATGACGTCGACGCCAGCAAATCCGTCTGCTTTTATTTTTTAATTAGTTGAAATAATTAAATTATATAATTACTACAATGCCCTTTATTAAATTGGATTAATAGGAGCCCTAGATTTTAATGAGGTTGAGTGGTTGAGATTCACTTAGCCATGTGACAAAGGGGACCCTCCTTAGTCACCTGATCTCAGCTCTAAAACAAGGCAAAGTTGAGCATAACAAGCCTTATGTTCTCTTAATTATACTTAATGCTGATGCTGGATGCATGATTAATATCCACTCGGAATCGACAATTTGACGTAACAGTGAAGAAGTGCTTGTTGTTGCTGCTGGCCTTGCCTAGCTGGCAACTAAATTGCTTTTACCAAAGAAAAAGAAGGTAGCAAGGTTGTCAAGCCGCGGGGTGATCTGGACTCGGTCGACCTAGTGGGTCAAGGGTTGATGGGTTATCTGTTTTAGCCTGGTATAGTCCAGAAATATGGAAAGAGTCATTATATTGAACTTATTCTGATAAATTATATCAAATCTCATCTAACATATGAGTTATAACATATAATATTCCACGAAAATAACATGTCGTACTTAGATCTAACATATAGTGAAAATTCACACACACTTATATAACATAAATATTCAAATGTTCAACTTAGAATTCCAAAGATTGAGTTCGGTGGAAAAAAAATCGCAAAATAGACGCATTCGCATACCAAATTAAAAAATGACACAATTTGATCTCCAACCGGTACTTTATAGCGGTCAACCCGACGACTACGTGCAGTTCGTTTTTCTCACCCGCGGAGGATCAAGTGGGTCAAAGGAAGTAAAGAAAGAAAAGAAAGCTCACATGCCTCGAAGACCTTACAAAGAAAGCAACGGCGAATACTTGTTTCTCTTGTCCCTCCCAAGTTTCCTTGTTTACCATCTTTTTTTCAATCCACCTCCAAGCACTACTCCCCAATACAACCAAATAAGAAAAGAACACTAAAAACAATAACATGATAGAGAAGACATGAGTTAGTATCTATGAAGACAAAACAAAAAGGCAGTGTTTGGCTTTCTTATCCATTCATTCCCACCCTAAACTTCTATCACCCCTACCCCTACGTACGAGTGGTGGAAGTGAGTGAGATGCTAATCATATGACTTGGCCATTATTAATTATTACTGCTTATTCTAATTCGTCATTCTATTTGAACCGCCGATAATGAAATTAAATGGGGCAACCTAATTAATCAGTAGTTAATGTTGGAAATTTGGTTGAACCGGACTAATCAAGTCAAACTGGTTTTGGGTTGGACCGACCAACCAGTTTGGGATTAGACCGACCGAACCAATATTCTAATTTCGTGAAGGGACACATCCCTTTGGTCTAGTGGCGGTTGCATTATTTTATGGATAAGGATAACCTTATGGATAGAGGCAACCCTTCATATGGATAAGGATAACCTTTCATATGGATAGAAGCAACCTTTCATATGGATAAAGGCAACCTTTCGTATGGATAAAGGCAACCTTTCATGAAACAATGCATGGATTCGGCCCCTATAAATATATGGGTGGGGTGGATGGTGCCACAGACCATCAAACAGATTCTTCTTCTTTCTTCCAAAAATTTCTAAGTATGCTTTAGAGTTCTTGAGCCTAGAACCTAAAGTGGTGATAGTTTTATCCTCGGGAGAAATTTCCTGTAACCCTAGGCTTGTTGAGGGTGGAAATATTCTTTTCGGAAAGTGAACGTTGTTCACGACTCTATCACAATCCTCGTCACCCGGTCTCGGCCTATCGTACGTATACCCTCGTCCCTAAAAGTCCCAACAATCGAAAAGAATAATTTCTGGCACGATGGCTCGAACCGCTCTTTACAAGAAACCGGTTCCGGTCTATGGAATCATGAGAAATTTCGATGATGGGTATTTCATCGATGGAAGTAGAAGATGGTTTTTCTTCGTACTAGTCGCATGGTGTATTCCATATCAGGAAGGTAACTTGGAAGAGGGATGATTCGAAGATGAGGAAGGAGAATGATTCATAAATTGGAGAAATAGAAGAATGAAAATTGCCTTTGGGTAGGTCACATACTCAATGGTTATTTGTCTAATTCTCTATTCGACGTTTACGAAGTGCTAGATAAATATGGATTTGTCTAGTGATTTGATGGTGTGGTTTTGTCTAAGGGTTTATTTTAAACCAAGAAGACAAAATTGTATATACAATGTTTGATGATTCTGGTAATAGAGTCGTTGTGTTTGTATGTCGATGACATATTTATCTTTGGGACCAATCAAAGATAAATGATTTTGTCTAGTGGTTTATGTTATTTTAAACCAAAGAGACAAAATGTTTACACAATTTTGATGATTCTGGTAATGAAGTCATCATACATTTGTATGTATAAGATATGCTTATCTTTGGAACCAATAAAAGATAAGTGAACTTTGATAAAAAAAATTGTTATTTCAATTCTCCATGTAGGACATGGGTAGGAAAATGTGATTCTGTGTATTGAATCAAGCGGAACGACAAAGAAGAGTCCTTCTCTCAATTTTTCTGCATGAGAAGGTACTTGCATAAATTCCTTAGTAGGAACTGAAGTGAGTTAAAGACCCCAATGGATCCTAGTATGAAACTTATGGTTAATACTGGAAATAAGTTTTACAACTGGAGTATTCCATGTCAAATTGGGGGCTCGATGTATGCATGATTTACATGATGCTAGATATCTCATATGCGATAGAACAATTAAGTTGGTACGTGATGAATCCTAGCTCTCATCATTTGAAATGAAATGAGGCGTGTACTAGGATATGTCAAAGACACACTGTCTTAACTTATAGTGGCTTTCCATCAATTTTGGAAGGATTTGTTGATGTTAGTTGGATTTCTCATGTTAAAGGTGATACTTCAACATTGAGATGAGTCCTCTTGCTTGGGAGAGGTACCATATTTTGGGCCTCTAGAAAGCAAACTTGCATCACTAATTTCACTATGGAATCAAAGTTTGTGTGGTCTTGATTTCTCTTAGAGAAGAGACATAATTGTTGAGAGGTTTGGTTTATGACATATATTTATGGCCTAAACCAATCTCACATATTACTATCTTTTGTGATAGTAATGCTAATTTGGCTAAGGCATATAGTCAAGTGAAAATGACAAGTACGGTCATGTGGGAGTAAGGCACGGTAAAAGCTGTGAACTGATCATTCATAGTGTTGTGTCTAGACAGTATGACCAAACTCAAAATAATTTGGTTGATCATTTGACGAAGTGGTTAACTAGTGACTTGGTGATCAAGTCTGTAAAAGGTATGGGTTAAAGTCCATATAATTTCTGGTAATGGGACACCCAATTCCCCTCTAATACAACGTTAGAGGCTAAATTCAATGTGGAAAGCTTATTATCAGAAATTGAAGCACACAATTTGTCATCCCGAGGTATGTGCTTGTTACCCTGCATGAGAGAGGAGGATGAAGTTTAAAACTTCTTAATTGAATTTTTGAAAAAGTGTATTATGCGGGTACACGAATAAGAGATTCAACCTACGTAAGCATGAAGTGTAGCCGCTTCAAGAAACCCGGACTTTGGTTTCGTGTGCGCTTATGAGAAGGATTGGACACATGGCGGATAATAGTGTCAAGGCACTTAGAAGTTTTGAAAACTTAAGTGTATATTATCTTCGAATATTCATATGAGTCAATGGGTTCAATCGTTACCGACACCCTTTGTATTCGAGTATTCGTCAAGTGTAATATACTAAGGTGAAAATTCAATCGTCACGGCATTTTCATTTAGGCTTAAGTTTTGTTGGAAGAATGTTGTGATTTTAGTGAATTACAAGAATACACTAAAATGGGGGAGGAATGTTGGAAATTTGGTTGAACCGGACTAACCAAGTCAAACTGGTTTTGGGTTGGACCGACCAACCGGTTTGGGATTAGACCGACCGAACCGATATTCTAATTTCGTGAAGGGACACATCCCTTTGGCCTAGTGGCGGTTGCATTATTTTATGGATAAGGATAACCTTATGGATAGAGGCAACCCTTCATATGGATAAGGATAACCTTTCATATGGATAGAAGCAACCTTTCATATGGATAAAGGCAATCTTTCATGAAACAATGCATGGATTCGGCCCCTATAAATATATGGGTGGGGTGGATGGTGCCACAGACCATCAAACAGATTCTTCTTCTTTCTTCCAAAAATTTCTAAGTATGATTTAGAGTTCTTGAGCCTAGAACCTAAAGTGGTGATAGTTTTATCATCCGGAGAAATTTCCTGTAACCCTAGGCTTGTTGAGGGTGGAAATATTCTTTTCGGAAAGTGAACGTTGTTCACGACTCTATCACAATCCTGGTCACCCGGTCTCGGGCTATCGTACGTATACCCTCGTCCCTAAAAGTCCCAACAGTTAATCACTTGTTTATATAATTAGTTTATTAATTCTTGCTGCTACTGCGGGCTGACAAAGTTGCGTACTAATTACCAAACGTACAGCTGATAATGACATATATATACAATATATAGAATAGAACAGTAACTAGCTAGCTAGCCAGGGGCGAAGGCATAAGCAAGAAATTCCTTTTGGTTTTCGCTATGAAAAATGATATTCTTTGTTAATTCTAGTATATGTTTAGAAGTTTTGTCCCACCCCCAACCAACTTCTGAATTTTAACTGCATGCGTTGATTACAAAGTTGGGGAAGAATTCAATCCCTTTCTTTGTTTCTTCCTCACTGGTCTTTGCCAAACTAACCTGCAACCTAGCTCTACATTTTCTTTCTACATATTGGTGGAGGTCAAATGAATTGGATTCATAAATTTGTGAATTGAATTGGTGGATTATGAGTTCATTGATTGGATCAAATGGACACATGAATTCTTGGACCATACAAAATGGGCTGGTGAATTGGATTCATGGATATCACTGACAGCCAAACCTTAGATCATTACATAGATTTTGAAAAGTTTTTGGGTACTAAAATGCCATTATGAAAAAAATTTGGTAGCAAAACGTAATTTTTGAATTATATGTGTTTAAAAAATAAAATTTACGTATCAAAATGTAAAATATAAAAAGTAAAGATAGTAAATATAATTTTCCAAATATTCATTAATCCAATCCATCAACCCATCAACCCAATTGGATTTAGATTAAATGAATTTGATTAGTTGGATTTTTAGTTGATGAATTGGATTGGTGGATTGGATTCAAATTGCCACCTCTAAGTATGTCAAGTATGGCAAAGTCTTAGGTGAAGATAAGAGGCTCAACTTTAATAAAGAAGTCACGTAGTATCCCCTTGTCGTGACGTACCAAGCCGTCAGCTAGCTGGATGCCGACTGGTGGTTTCTCCATCTTGCTAGTCCCAAGTGCTTCGTAAGTATTGACTGACATGAAATTGGGACTGGCTCTGATATCAATAACAACATCGGGTATATGGAGATTGTGAAGCTTACAAGGAATAACAAATCTTCCTGAATCTGATAATTTATAGAGGGCCTTGACATTCATGTTCTTAGGGATGTCATTTGTTGTGATTTGGGGGTGTAGGATGGGAGGTTCTTCCTTAATAAGACGTTATTTCATTGCCTTCACTAGATTGAGCATCCACATGCGAGCCTCCAAAATTGGTGAAGAAGCTTCTGTGCCGCCTAAAATTGTTATAAATTGATGGAGAACATCTAAAGGGCAGGACTGCATCCCTCGAACTGACGCCTTGGCCACCATTTTGGGAGAAATTTCATCGCTCGGGTTGCTATTTTTGTTTGGGTAAAGAGAACAATTTTTTTCTCTTTTCCATGATTACTTTAACTTTTCCTTTATTGTTGTGAATATATTCCGTGGCTCCAGTAGGTAGAGGAGAGGGATGCTTTTTTTCACCACTGGTCTTAAACTTGAAGACCGCAGGTTCAAATTCTTAAATAAGACTTAATTATATAAAACAAACATATATTACCCTTATAAAGGTAAAGACAATATAAAAGCCAAACCTTTAAATCTAGATAAAATAATAGCAAAACCTTTCAAAAAACAAAATAATAGTCAAATCGTTAACTTTTCCTCCAATGTTTGTGACAAAAAAGGTATTTGTTTGACTGTACTTTATTGCAACTTAATAATCTTTACATTATGACTTATTAATTTTTAAAACAAGAAAATAAAAAACAAACTCAACACATCTGAAATCTCTAATCTCCTCACCGCCTTTATCCTGCTGTCCAGACCGGCGGAATAAAAGCTGACAGCTGTAGAGGCCGAGGACAGACCGACGTTGGAACCCGGATCCTCCAACTTCCCGTCCCTCTCTGTTACATTGGCGGCGAGACCCGCATCGTCCTCCTCGACTAAAACTCCACGGTCACCTCCCTCTCCATAATCCCGCACCCTGCTCTCAATGGTCGCCCGTTCACCCTAAAATTCCGAGATAAGTAGCGGCGGCCTAGCCATCACCTTCTCGTCTCTCCTCTCTTCCTCCAGATCTGCATCTTCGGAAGTAGCTCAATCACAGGACTGTCACGAAACATGATTTTGTTCAGAAGGGCATTTCAGCCACCGAATACCAAAGGGAATTTGGCACTTGAGCCGCCAATTATATTCTTCTTCAATTGACTTGACAACATAGACTTGAGTCAATAAATTAAAAATTGAATACGAAAAAAATATACATGAACAAATTGAAAACAAAACAATGAAAAAAAATTAAAAACAAAAAGGAGAAAGAATGCATCATTATCCCTTTCTAATGGTTGAGAGAATACTCCGACAATGGCACCAAAATTTGATCACGAATGTAGTAGCGGTCAAATTTACCTAGTTGGAAGACCATGATCGTATCTTCCTAGGGTCTCACGACTACTTACACAGGTGGTGAGGGACTAGTTCTATGGTTTGAAAACATGACTGTGGAGGTTGTGGTGCCTCCTTGGCGAGTGGAGAAATCAAGAGGACGAGGTGTTGCACAGACAAACTCCCCATAGAGTACCTTAGACACATAACCTCTATCCCAGAAGCATACACATTACTTGGTCCTTGTGATATCTTCTTCTACATTGTCTCACAACAGTCTCTGAGATTTTATAGGCAACAAGGACCCTACGGATTTCTCTCTTAAGGTGACACACAGTAAAATCAATTAAAGATCGATCGTAAAGGATGGTCGTGTCTAGTCTTGACCCTATGTGACTAGGATGTACGATTCATTGAAGTTCTCAACCAATCTACAATAGATAATACAAAGAAAACAAGCATAAGATAAAAGAATAAAAACATTGTATATATATGCCAAAATGGAATGTTACAAAGTCTAGGACCTTTAGGGTTCATCCACCTATGCAACTAAAGGAACTATTCGGCCATGCGAACGAGATCCATGAGATTTATCGGTCAAAATGAAGATCCCACGGAGTTCTTAGTATCGATGATCCAAACGGAGATTTTGGAGACTAGGCCACCGATCTAGGTGCCGATTTCCCTCTCATAGCCGGTTGCCGATTTCCCTCTCATAGCCGGTTTTTCTCTAAGTCAGATGAGTCACTTTATATGAAGAGTAACAACCCTCTTATAACTCCAAGTCCTCTTATACCTCCTATCACTAGCTACCGAATTTCTCCATCTAAAGTCTATTTATAGAATTTTCATTAAGGTTTGGGGGACAGATGATGGCTAAATAAGGATCTTCGAGTCCCAATTCATTTCTTCTAGTTTGGCCACTATGAAAAGCCTATTCCTTGAAGATTCTGGTACTTTCTGCACGATCCTCAAAATAGCGACCGAAGCACCATTTTGCCAAAGTGGCTATTGATTCCATCATTTCTTTCCCTCTCTTCATTTCCCACTTCTAGCTCTTAGTAGTCGAGTTCGTATGTCCTCTAACACGTCTAAAGTGGTCCACTAGGTCTCTATGTCTTGATAACAAAACAAACACTATCAAATTAATAAAAGAAAGTCTGGTGCTACTAGAATACACTTTGAGTATCACGTAGCAAATTCAAGATATTATGATATTTTCATAAAATGGGGTTTAAAAGAGTACTTTTCAAGTGTCATCCACAAGCTCCTGCCTAAGTGATTGTTGCTGCTTTCCCCCTAAAGGAAGAATAAGACTCGCAATAACAACAACATCAGTGAAGGAGGCGATGGCAGTTTCATTGCTGAGCGTGAAATCGACACCGACTGTGTAAGTTTTTCAATGGGAATTTTCTTGACCTAGATTCGCAAAGGGTCTCAAATTCTTGTTGGGGAGGTGAGATCTACGAAGAAAAAAAAGTATTGAGATTGAAGATGTTGAAAAGTGATGAAATTTTGAGTTCATAAAGTTGGTTACCTGGAATTGGAGATAAGAGTCAAGCTCTTGCTGCTAAGACTCAAGCTGGGAGCAGAGGAAGAATTGAGAGCCACCAGCAAAGGTGCATGATACAAGCAACCAAAAATAGATTGTTCTTGGGTGTTTGGGATAGAACGGAACCAAACGTGCAACTTCACATGACGGAAGAGGCTCGATTGGTATCAAGGTAGTTGCCCGACCACGATCAACGCGTTCTTGATCAATACAGAGCTCAACGAGTTTGGAATCCACCAAAATCCACACAAGTACACAACGTGAAACTTGCAAAAACTCAAAGGTTTCCATTCAATTATTCTTTACCATTGACAACAAAAAGAACGGCTATTTATAGCCAAAATAAAACTAATACAAGTCTAGACTAACAAGGAAACAAATTGAAACATAAAAGGGTAAATAATTGTCCCTAAACAAGGTAGCTTGGACATTAAGAAAATAACTTAAAACACAAGTCATCTGCCCAGAAAAATAGACTCCATACGAACTTTGTTATTCTCGAAAATGATCGTCTAGCTTGATCCGAACACAACCAATTCTTTCACGTGGTTTAGAAAGTTTCATACTTTAATCTCCAACTCAAAGCTTCATTCAAATGTACTCCAATCTCCAGGAATAAAGCTCCAAAGATGGTACCTCAAACACAGTTTCTGCCTTGGCCAATTTTAGGCAGTTTTCCCGTGTCTTCATAGCAACTTGAGGGCTTTTGAAAATAACCTTACAAACTGATCCAGGAGCAAACCAACCCTCCAACATGTAGTATAAAACTTTGTCTTCAATGTCAAGCCTTTCCTTTGAATTTCCCATGTACCAATTGTACGATTTAAACCTGCAAAGTAAGCACCACGAAATCGTATTGACACTTATCGAAATTCTGCCTCTTTTCTTGCCAACTTTGATAGCTTCTTTGGCAAGTAATAAAAACTTGTAGAATAGGCTAATATGGATTGTATCAGGGGAAATTAAAGCAGACACATCAACCATCTTGGATGAGGAAAGATTGTGTTGATGTTGACTTTGAGGAAGGTTATGATGATGGTCCTTCTCATCCTGGATTGTCCCAGAAGAGGCATCGCACCAGCGCTAGCATGATTCTCGATATCCTCAATGCTGACAGCACAACTGAAGAGAAGTTGGGGGTGCTGGACCCTCTAGGCTTTAGAGGTGTCTCCAGAGTGAAGCTAACGAAGATCCTAGAGAATTTTCCTGCTTAGGCTCGTCAAAGTTATGATATTAATTATTGTAAAAAAAAAGTTATGATATTAATTAAAGGTTTTTCCTACTACTTTGCATATAGAAATTCATAATCAGAGAGGAGGATGAGGAGACAGTTTATGGGGTTTCGCATGCACCCTATGATGTTCATTTGAAAGCTTTTAATTCAAAACAGAAAAATGATTGGGGGTTGAATTAAGGTTGTCCAACATGAAGAAAGGGGAAGTGACCCTAGAAAACATGAAAATCTGGTTGGAATATGAGAAGAGCGCAAAGAACTAGAGGGACCTTTTTGTTTTGTTTGAGTTAGAGGCGCTTTTTTGTCCCAACGGCAATCAGAAGGTTGACCTTAGTTATCTTGACTTCTTGCAAGATGACATGATTGATGATTTTACAAACTATAATTGGTGCAAGCATGTGCTTGACCATTTCAATGAGAATATGGTATAAGTTGTTCAATAAGCTTCAAAGTACTCGTGCGAAGTTCATCTTCTACTTGTAAGTAACAAAATATGAACCTTTTCTTTTTAAATTTGTTGTTTATGCGTCATTTATGTGTTTGAAGATATATATGGTGCGCTTCAACATATTTGTGGTTTGGTTTTATTTCCCCCTGTTGTGGGGTGGTTTAGTGTCTTTGTGTTGTGCGTTATAAGGTTTCTTATATACTTATGTGGTGGATATTAACTTGTGTCTATTTGTATATTTGGTAGATTTTGATTTTTGATCGGATGAACCGTCGCTGCCTGCTTCTGATACCTACATGAAAGAATAGGATGTACAATGAAGCTAATAATATATTTAAAGTGCTGATGGAAGAAGAGCACCTTTTAATTGGTCATAGAGATGCAATAGAGGATGAACTAGAAACGCTGACTCAAATAATGTGGCGTGGGGAGGTCAAAGATAGAAAACCTAAAAGAGAGACAAAGGAGTTTGACATAGAGAGGAAATAGGATATTCCAAAGTCCCCATTTTGACATGAACTTGGATGGTGTTCATTCAATAGAAGAATTGAGTGGCTTTTGGTTTATA